GAAGTTGAGCGCGAGCTGCCCCCATCCCCGTGTGCCATAACAGCCCACTTGTACGCTGTGAGGAAGAGGCAGAGTGAAGGGGGAGGGGATAAACACAGGGAGGAGAGATGGAGAGCAGACAAACAAAGAAAGATAAAGGGAAAGTAAGGGAAAGTATGGAGTGTGGAGTGAGGATGAAAGCAAAAGAGGATAAGAAAAGGCTCAAGAATGAGTCTGTCCTTGACGACAGAGAGGAAATACATTGTAAGGATGATGTGGATGAACGCATGGAGGACCTAGCTGAGCATTCTCAGTGCAACAATTGCCACGACGGGTGGCATTGAGCATGCCCGCCATACACCCCCGACAAATGGCATGTTGATTGCAGGCCAAAATGAAAGAAGAACGGTCACCACAAAAGAGAATGCATTCAGTATAGCGCCCATGGCCACAAATGGACATATACTGTCCGGATGTGGAGGGTGCCTGCAGTCAGGAACGGTGGGACAGTCCTCTGCACACATGGATGCAGAAACCATGTCATTGTAGTGATTGTGACAGAGACGATGGCGGCTACAGCCGAGTGTAACAGTGTGTGTGGTTGTGCAAAGGAGAAGGTCACAGAGTGTTGGTGCATTGTCTTGCTGAAGCACGGGGCCAGAGGAATTGCAGACGGTTTGTTGTGGCAAGAAAACAACATCATTTTGTAAGAAATCAGTGACATCAATCATGGCATGGACCATGGTGCCGTTGTCCCACAGCTCCCAGTGGTCAGAGGCATGTACAATGGCCATGTAATGGCCAGGGCCCTGCACAATGCAGGCAGAGATGTGGGATGGAGGATTAAACCACTCACCTGCTCGAGCATTGCGTAGGTCAAGTTGATGGTCCCTCATTGCTACTTGTAGGACAGCAATGGTAAAGCCTTCTTCGCTGGTACAATTGCAATACTCTGGCTGTTGTTGGGGAAGATCAGCATCAAGCTGAAGGGCGATTGCAAGGAAGTCTGATGGTGTATAAAACGGGCGATGGAGAATGTTGCAATCAAACTTGCTTTCATTCACACTTTTCATGCATGTAAACAGTAGCTCAGCAAACTGGCGACATGCGCCCACTCAAAACTCAGAGATATGGCATCCAGATACGAGTTCACTTTCAATTGGCTATGGCGACTCAGCGCCCAAACAACTCACTGTTCACATACACCGGAACACCCTGGATATCCCACACGCGACTCTCTGAACTCACTCACACACACACACACTGAACACTCACTACAGCTACGGCGGCTATGGCCGCAACTACCCTATCGCTATGCTACGCTCCTTCTCTCTCGCCCACTTCAGCTTCGGGCGTCACTGCAGACCTCCTTGCACAAGTCGTTGTGGCAGCGCTTCCGCATGGCTCACGCAGGAATGAATGAATGGCTGGGTGCTGCCCCTTGATTTATACTTCTGAAACTCGTTGGTCTGCCCTTTGCCATCGGCCCATGGTGCTCACAGTCCCTGGTGGTACTTGCTGGACCGGACTGGAACTGACTGGACCTTACCGCTGACCGAATGGGGACTCACTGCTAACCTACCGAGGTCGCACTGCAATTGCACTGCAGTTTAGTCCACCACTTGACTCACCACTTGCCCACTTGCCCACTTGCTGACCTTCTAGAAGGGCTACAGTTAAGACTTCTGGAACTCGCTAAGACTTCTATTCTACAGATCTACAGATCGAACCCCTCCTACCTACGGACCTATGACAGCCTACCAACTGTTTACGAATACACAGGTCACAAGTTCAACTCTCGGGGTCTACTCAGGTACAGTACACAGGTAGGGCAAGGTCTAGGGATCGAACCCTGGGATCTGCGTCTGCTACTGCAAAGAGGTGAAAACCGTTTCACTCCCACCGTCCTAAATTCGAGGTCCTCCGAGAATATTTCAGTCCAAGGCAGGACCTTTACCCTTCTTATCACGCTCGTAAGCTCTGACTATGTCGGGAGCTGTTTCTAGAAGTTCTATCCTAGTAAACCAGCGGTCGACCTCCGGTTCCTGATAGGCAAACCGGACCTTATACTGTTTCGGTGGGCGACCTCTACCTCCTGTTCTAAAGACATCTTCATCTACAATGTCGTCAATGTCATAGCTGCCATCCATATCCGGAGGGATCATGGATCTTCTTGAAGGGAACTGTTGACTTGTGACACACGACATCAACTTTGAAGCTTGGAACACCGGGTAGGTGTGGAGGTGCGCTGGAATCTCTATAGTGTAGGACGGTCCATCCTCTCCGCCCTTGACCTCTAGAACCGGCCACGGCCCTCTACATGCAGGCAGTAACTTCTGCGAGATGTTCTCCTCAGGCGCAAACTCTTTAGACTTGACCCAGACTAGGTCGCCTACCTGAAACTGTAATGGGCGACGGTGCTTATTAGCCTGTTCTATCATTCTGTGTTGGGCCTTCCTGAGGTTTTCAACAACAGTTGCTAGCTCTCTCTCGTGCTGTATGGCGAACTCCCTGGTCCCAGGCGGTAGCCTGTGAATCTGATCCCGGGTACGCCCCTCAAACGGTCTGCGGGGTCTAAAGGACTTATGCAACACATTGGGAGTGCGACAGGTAGACAAATGCACGTTGTTATTGTATGCGCTGGCTACCTTGGGCAACATCTCGTCCCAATTGACTTGATCCGGTCTAAAATACATACGCAGAACTTGCTGAAGGATCTTATTCATATGTTATGTCTCACCGTTAGTCTTTGGATGACGGCCAGATGACATCAGTAACTTTGATCCATAGACTCTCATGAGTTCCTGCCAGTTCTGACTCGTGAATCTGGTGTTTCTATCACTAACTATAGACAGCGGAACCTCGTGATCACTAATCCAATGATCAAAAAACTTTTGAATGACTAACTCCGTACATGCCTCTGCAGGCAAAGGAACAAAAACTGCATATTTACTAAATCTGTCAACTATGACCACGACTTGGCTCTTGTTGTGTCTACTTTTGACACCGGCATCCATGAAGTCAATGGAGATTGAATCTCCAGGTTGGTCGGGGATAGGCAAGGGTCTGAGAAGACCTAGAGGGGCACACGTAGTGGTCTTGTTCCTCTGGCAAACTTTGCAACTGGGAACATACTCTATGCAGTCAGCTTTCATCCCTGGCCAGGTATACGCATGCATCAGGTTGGCTAAGGTCTTCTGCCAACCGAAGTGTCCCTCGGTGTCATGGCATTCCCCTAAGATTAGACTACGGATCTTCTCACTGTTGGGGATGCACAGGCGGTCTACTACATTAGTCTTCTCAAACAATAGTCCTTCAGTAGTGCGGTAGTCTGTATCCAGATAGTGTAGTATAGCTCCAAAGTAGTCTGATCTCCTACTTAGAGCATCTGCAACTACGTTATACTTGCCTTTGACCAGTTTGAGCTCAAAGTCATATTGGTCTATCTCAGCGGCCCACCTAGTCAACTTAGGTGTCATTTTGGCCTGGGTCTTTAACCATCTAAGAGTTTTGTGGTCTGAGTATACTTTGAAGTGCTTCCCAAGCAGGTAATGCTTCCAATGTTCTAAGGCCCGCCTGAGAGCGTAGAGTTCTCTCTCGTACATCGAGGTGGCTACCTTCTCTGAGGGCATCCTCGCTGACATGAACTCTGCGGGTCTATAGCCATTGTCGTCGTCTTGCTGCAACACGACGCCTATACCATATTGACTCGTGTTCGTGGTGACGACAAATGGCAAAGACGGATCAACTACTTTGAGGACAGGGTACTCTATCAATGCGCGCTTTAACTTCTTTAGCGCAGACGTACAGTCTTTGTCCCATTGCCAGATTGCCTCTTTCTTTAGCAACCTGCCTAGGAACGACCGCAACTCTGTCAATGTGCGGGGCGTCGGCCAATCTCTAATTATCGCTATCTTGTTGTCCTCTCACTTAATGCCATCTCCGTCTAATACGTGGCCCAAGTACAAGACTTGCGTCTTGGCCCACTCGCACTTCTTTGCGTTGATCTTGAAGTTAGCCTCTCGTACCTTCTCCAAGACCTGCCTCAAATGACCCTGATGCTCTTGGAGGGTCTTGCTGAAGACTAATATATCATCTAGATAAACTACTACAAACTTATCTAACCACGGTCTGAACAAATCATTCATACAACGCTGAAAGGTGGTTGGCGCGTTGGTTAGTCCAAAGGGCATCACTATGAACTCATAATGCGCATATCTAGTCCGGAACGCAGTCTTATACTAGTCATCAAGATGGACTTCTATCTGATGGTATCCGGACTTCAAATCTATCTTAGAAAAATACTTGCAACCCTGCACCCGATCTAAGAGACCGTCTATCCTGGGCAGCGGCTCAACATTCTTCATTGTAATAGCATTCAAACCCCTATAGTCTATACACATACGAAGCTCTCCTTCCTTCTTGGGGACAAACAGGACTGGTGCTCCAAAAGGAGACGAACTGGGCCTGAGCCAACCTTTCTCGAGGAGCTCGTCTAACTGCTTGTGTAGATCCTCTAACTCTCTAGGGGACATTTTGTAGACTGCTCCCTTAGAAGTCCTACTGCCAGGCTCTATCGCTATCCTGTGCTGGATGGGTCGCGGCACTA